TGACTTCTGAACTGTTGCTACACACTGTTCCTACCTTCTGTGTTTGCATTTGATATTGGCTGACCTTACTCAGGTATCCCTTGAGCCAACTTTCCAGTCTGGGCCTGCTCTACTCTGTTTGACCCCCCCAGGTACTGGCACAAACACTCTAAACAGAAGGGTTTCTTTCGTTTGAGTCATATAATCTGATTTTAATCTTTTTCCAACTCACTAGTGATCTCTAATAGTCTCTTGAATTCAGTGGGTTTTCTCTTATGTTTTTCTCTACCAATATCTCTACTGCTTTTGAACCTCTGATAGCACATTGTCTTCTGTGACACTTTTATTCTCTGACCTCTATGGTAGTATTCTTTCTTTATTTTCCCCCAGTGCTGGGGACTAAACTACCAGAGAAGCACCCTGCCACTGAGCCACACCTCCAGCCCTGCCTCCTTATATTCTTACAGCTCTGTTTTCTTCCTCCTTTAATGATGCTTCTTTTCCCAAGACTCTGGGAGCAACTGTGAATATTCTCTACTTAGGCTTAGTCTCAACCCTGCTTCCTTTCATCTTCTATGTTCCTCCCTAGTGATTCATCTACTCACAAGGGGCCAGTAAGGAGCAAAAATATTGAACATCTTAACATAACCATTTAAAATGCTTCATTTATTTAACCTCATCTTAGCATGTAAAGGTCTCCTAAATCTATAACTAGTTCCACGGAATCTTGCTATTTGTTTGTTTGCTTGTTTTTGAGACAGGGTCTTATTATATATCCTTGGCTGGACTAAAGATTGATATGTAGACAAAGTTGGCTTGAACTTGGTTGGTCTGAGGCTCTGCCAGCCTCAGCATCCTGAGATTAGGATTAAAGGCATGCAACTTTTAACTTTTTAAAAAAATTGCTATTTTTGCCAGCACTTGGGAGGCAGAGGCAGGTGGATTTCTATGAATGCTATGCCTGCCTGGTCTGAGTTCCAGGACAGCCAGGACTACACAGAGAGACTTGGTCTCAAAGAACAAAACAAAAACCAACAACAAAATTTGCTTATTCTTAATAGTCAGTCATTTCTGGTGCTTTCTCAAGTTAAATCCTCTCTCTCTCTCTCTCTCTCTCTCTCTCTCTCTCTCTCTCTTTCATTTTGGAGACAAGGTCTCATTCACTATGTAGCCCTGTCTTGTCTTGAACTCTTAGAGATTTTCCTGCTTGTGCCTCCTAAATTCTGGGGTCAAAGGCCAGTGGCTGAACCCAGCAATTTCAATTACTTTTATTACTTTTACGGGACTCCACACTTCCCTAGACTTCTATCACAGCACGCCTTCCTGTTGCATGTTAGTATCTTTCCTATTAGACTGTAAGGTCTATATTACATAAGGATTTTTGTTTTTTGAGAAAGGATGTCTTCCTCCTCTCCATTGCTGGAACTACAGGAATGTACCAAATGTACCAATTCTTGGCCTGTTTTCTTTTCGTCTTCTTCTCCTCCTCCTTCTTGGTTTGTTTCTTTCCTTCCTTCCTTCTTTCTTTCTTTCTTTCTTTCTTTCTTTCTTTCTTTCTTTCAAGATTTTATTTATTAAGTATACAGTATTCTTCCTGCATGTCTGCCTGCAGGCCAAAAGAGGACACCAGACCTCATTATGGATGGTTGTGAACCATCATATTGTTGCTGGGAATTGAACTCGGGACCTCTTAACTCTGAGCCATCTCTCCAGATCACTGTTGTGTGCTTCTTGATGCTGTTCTTTTTACTCCTTACTGTCACTAGGCTCTTATACTTTGTACAACAAGGCTTATCATGGCCTGTAGTGAGATAGTCCTTCTGTGGCACTGACCACGCCTATTGGGGGGTGGAGCCATGGACGGAAGTGACTGGATTTCCTCCTTCTATTCATCTATATTCTTTCCTTTCTTTAAGGCCCAACTTCAAGTTCACCTTCCCTGGGGGACTTTTGACTTTTTTGGTTTTAATGTCTTTCTTCTTTAACATATTACTATTTATCATTATATGACTTACTATTATAGCACACTTAGGTGTATTTATATTATCATATTAATCACCTATGTCAGGGATTGATTTATGAGCCAAATATAGCTTACTATAGGTAAGGACAGTTTTACTGGGCTGGAGAGATGGCTCAGGAGTTAAGAGCACAGGCTTCTCTTGCAGAGGACCAGAGTTTGGCTCTCAGCACCCACATCAGAGTGGCAGGCAATTCAACGCCCTCTTCTGGCCTCCACCAGCGCCTGCACACAGATGTATAGTGCCCCCTCCCCAGGTACACACATACACATAGGTAAAAGTAAAATAAATCAGGGGCTGGAGAGATGGCTCAGCAATTAAGAATACTGGATGCTCTTCCAGAGGACCCAGGTTCAATTCCCAGCACTCACATGGTGGCTCCCAAGGGATCCAGTGCCCTCTCTCTGGCGTCAGTGGGCACCAGACACCCATATGGTACACAGACAAACACTTACACACTAAAACAAAAAGAAATAAAATAGGGCTGGAAAGATGACTCAGTGGCTAAGAGAACTGTTCTTCCAAGGTCGTGGGTTCAATTCCCAGCACCCACATAGCTGCTCACAACTGCCTGTAACTTCAGTTCTAGGGCATATGACACACTCACACAGACATACATGCAATTAAAACACCATTGCAGATAAAATAAAAATAAATAAGTTACTTAAAAAAAATCTTTGCTACAGGGTTGGTCAAGAACACTTACTGTTCTGTCAGAGAAACTAAGTTCAGTTCCCAGCACCCATGTGTGGAGGCTCACAAGCAACTGTGGCTCCAATTCCAGAGGACTAATACTCTCTTCTGGCCTCCAAAGGTACCCAGCACACATACAGTGTATATACATATATGCAGGGAAGTACTTACACACATTAAAATTTTTATTGTTGTTGCTGTTGTTTTGTGTTTTTGTTGTTTTTTGTTTTGTTATTTTGAGAGAGGGTCTCTTTATTGAGCAGCTGTTGCTGTTCTGGAACTCACTATGTAGACCAGGCTGACCTCAAACTCACAGAAATCCACCTGCCTCTGCCTCCCAAGTGCTGAGATTAAAGGTGCGCATCACCATACCCAGCAAAAATAAATCTTTAAAAAAATGAAATAATTGCAGAGTGCTGGTGGCACACACCTTTAATCCCAGCACTCAGGAGGCAGAGGCAGGCTGATCTCTGTGAAATCTAGGCCAGCTCGGTCTACAAGAGCTAGTTCCACGACAGCTTCCAAAGCCACTGAGAAACCCTGTCTTGAAAAACAAACAAACAAACAAACAAAAAAACCCCAAAACAAAACAAAAAACAACAAAAAAAATTGAAAAAAAATAATTTCCTACAATTAGATCATTGTTTCTCATTATGTAGTATGGTTAACTACTTTGGGAATTTAGCTTTAAAAAAAGAATGCTTTTGTCATGTTGCAAGTGCCTGTGGAGGCCAGAATAGGGTTCGAGGTACCCTGGAGCTGGAGTTACAGACAGGCGTGACCACTGAATGTGGTCCTCTGAGAGATTAGCAAGTGAGCCATCTGCTAAGCCAACTCCAGCTCTCCCACTAAAATTTAAAGACATTTTGTAGCTCCTGAAATTTACATGAATCCAAACATCAGTCAATGGTCACAAACACATTTATATCAGACACAGCCAAACCTGTTTGTTGACATAATTGTTTGTGTCTGTGAAGCATAATAGGTGATGATGGCTCAGGAAAGAGTACATGTGTCCCTCAAAGACAAAACATTTATTAATTTGATTGTTACCTGGAAAGCTAGATGATCAATAACCTAGAGGCTGAATTCTCATTAGCATCTTTTTATAGCAGCTTAAGAATTAAGGTCTGTTTCACTAATGACCACCCTTTCAATGCTAATTAATTGTTCATCAGAAGGATTCTCAAGGAGTAGGCTGCATAGAGTGAGTAGGAGCAAGCCTAGTTAGAAGTTTAGAAATGGAGGCAACCAGATTCCTCCTAGAAATGGAATCGGACCATCTCAGGTGGGTCTCATTTCCAGCTACCCAGAGGAGATGTATAAGTATAGAGAGCCAAGTTAGAGAAAAAGACTATTTGAGGTCTTATTTGAACTTGGTTGTTGAGAAGAGACCAAACCACGAAATGGTTGAGACAGTGCAGCTGCAGTTTTAACAGGCTGTGAAGGTATCAACCAAAGAATGTGTCTGTGAAAGCAGAAAGCATCTGGGTTTGGCTGACTGAAGCTGTAAAAAAGTTTACAATGCCAACAAGTACCGCAGGCATGAAAATGTAAAGAACTTCCTTAAAGGGGTGAAAACTATATAAACAGAACTACATTAACTAAAGTTATCAGAAGGTTCATGCACTTACCTGTGTCCTGTTTATTTTCTTCCTCCCTACTTTTTGCCCATATATATATGTATGTGTATATATGTGTATACATATATATATACACATACACACATATACATACATACATACATACACACATACATACATACATCATATGGGGTTAGAGAGCACAAAGCTCAAGACTATTTGCTGTTCTTCCAGAGGACCAGAGTACAGTTCCTTAGGATACTGCTTACTACTTCTCTCTCCTTCACCGCTTTCCTACTTTGTTTTCTGTCTTCTAATCCCCCGAGGAACTCCCCCTCCTTCCTGCTCTGTCTGTCTTACCCTAGTTTGGAAATGCAGCAGATTTCTGAGCTTGCCACTACTAGGTTCGAGGAGCTGTCAGTCTGCGGTAGGCAGAGTTTCTATTGGTTGGTCTAGAGGCGGGGACCGGAGCTCACTATAAAAGATGCGGCCGGTCAAGGAGCGAGGAGCTGCTGTCAGGACCTGGTCCGAAGGGGTCCCTTTAGAAGAGCTTCAGGCCAAGCGCCCAGGGCAACACCAAGCAGCAGCTCCAGGCGAGCACTTTCTCCTTCGAGCCCGCTAGGGCGCCTGCCCCGGAGCCCCTCAACTCTCGACCGCGGTCCACGCATCCCTCCGAGGACCCCTTGCCTCACCTGAGCCTGCCACGCCCCATCCGGCCGCCGGGATGAGCGAGGTGAGCCGTGCCACTTGTGTCTACCCCCGCCCACCCCTCACTGTGAGCGTGCTCCGGGCCAGGGCTGCGGCGGGAGGACGCTGCGGCTCTAGATCCCAGGGAGGTGAAGGGTACTCTCTGGGTGGACGCCACCGCCCCTCTAGGACAGTCCTCAACCTCCCAGCTCTTTGAAGCTACTGGAAAGTGCTTTTAGCTTACCAGCTGTCGATAGCGGTTAGGGGAGAGGGTGGCTGGAGTCAGCTGTAGGCGGGAACTGAGCTCTCGGGATGATCAGCTGTTTCTTGGGATGCTAGTCTTCTGCATCTATCTTATTGCTACGAGATTTCCGTATCTTTCCTTGCTGACCTCCATCTTCAGTGCCTATTAAATTGGAAGTCTTCGGATAGGTTCTGTGGTGTTCACCGGAGCCAACCCAGTCCTTTAATTGGTTGACTCTTTTCAAAGAACACTGTCCATGGTAAGACTTTGAGAAGACCGGTCCTATTATCTGACTTATCTGTGGCACCCTGAACACATCCTCATATTATGAGGCAAGCATACTCGTTCCCAGATGGTGTTGGTATGAACAGTGATATCTCATGCTTTCCTTCGGTGGCCCCCTTCCTAGTGAGTACATCCTAGTGTTCAATCGGTTTCCTCAGCAATCTGCCAGCCCCTTGTTCTGTTACATAGTCGCTATGAAGCCTTAGGAGCATCAGAGAATTTGTCTGCTTATCTGTAAGACGAAGGTAATGCTGGTTGTAGTCAGATGGTTATGGACTCGCTTAGTGACAGAGAACTTGCCTAGCATGAATGAAGTCCTGGATTCAATCTCCAATACTGAAGGGAGAGACACAGAGAGAAAAAGAGATAGGGGAGGCAGAGAGAGGTGGAGAAAGAGAGAGATGAGGAGACACACACATACACAGAATTCCCTGGAGTCTGGTCCCCAGTTTAGATAGGAAAGACGAATATTTCCAGTAGTTCTGCTGACTACTGCTGACCCAGAGTCATCACCTAGGGAGTCAATTAGTGCCAGCTGGTGTGTTGTCTTGGTTGCCATGTCCACTGAGTTTATCCTGGAAAATCCATGGAGTCTGATGGCTGCAGAGGAAAGAGAGCAGCTTCCAGTATCTCAGCTGGTTGCAATCCTGCAGAAAGAAAATAATAAAAGTAAAGGGAGTGACTTTCTCTGGCTTCTTAGCTCTAATGTGAGAAGGGAGGCTTTCTTTGCCCCCCCCCCCATCACTAAGGTCTAGGGTTCAAACCACTCCTCCCACCATCATGTTCTAAATCTGACCATTTTAATCCAAGCCAACCCTGCCCCCTGGGAGTTTATCTCATGGCTATGCTGATATGATCTGTGGTTAGTTTGTATATATGATGAGATACACATGGTCCCTGGGTAGGACAGACCATTAGAAGATGTAAAAAGTGGTATTTAGTGGAGTGACAATGCTGTGTTCTTGGGGAAGTCAGATCTTGGGGCTACTCTAGACAGCAGCTGAATTTAACTAGCCTTAATTAGGGGCTCTTCAGAGTAAGAGTGGAATCCTCCAGTGGGGACTCTGTGTAAGGCTGCCTCCAGCCTCCTAAGCTGTCAGAGAAAACTAGTCCTAGCTAGCAATTTAGCCATCCAAGCTGCCTCCTAATACAGAGAGGAGCCTTGCTTCAGGGATGGTTATTTATAATATCCAGAGGCAGCCACCTGGGTGTACACAGAGACCAGCTGTTTCTGAACCAGAGCCCCTATGGGAGAATCTCAGTTCCCTGCAGGCTAAGAACCAGTCTGTTTTCTTCCTCCTGAAAAAAAAAAAAAAAACTATGATAAAAGCGGAAGTGTTGCCCAGAGCTATGGAGCTCGAGGGAGACTCCAAATGGCTTCACTTCTCTACACTGCGGATCCTGTCTTTCCAGTTGATGTGCCCAGGCCAGGAAAGCCATGTACCCCGAATATTATATAAGTTTCACCTTCCCCACCTGCTTATTTCCTTGCTTCACAGACACTGCCCAAAATGTGAAGATTTGGGATGTCTTTAAGAGATTCCATTTCAGCTGAGGAACAACTAGAGGTGGGGACCTCTGGACCAGGGCAGCTGAAAGTGTAAGGGTTCTGGCAGGACTGCTAAGCAGGACTGGTAGCTCTGTCTTCCCTTGGTGGCTCTCTGCTGTCACTCAGTACTGCAGCAGAGCATTTCCCTGGGTCTACATGCTCTGTTGCTGAGGAGCTGCAGAGACTCATCTCCAGCTTGTCTGTGTTCACAGCTGGAGGCAGGACTTGATTGCTGTGAATCACAGTCTGTCTCCTGTAGTTTAATAACTTTCCCTTGGTTCCTGTGAAGCTTGGGTATAGGAAATACATCCAGTCCCTGAGGGCTCTTCCCTACAATCCCTTTTTATGCAGTATAGCTGGCTTCGCAAAGCAGAACTGGAGGGTTTCGCATGCTGCATTTCTCATCTGTGAGAAACTTAACTGGAAGGATCCTTTGGTCTCTGCTGAAATGGGAGTCACAGATTACTGGTGACAGTCCCCACAGTTTCTTTTCTGAGTTTTAGCTGGCAGGGGACAGAGCAAGGAACAGATCATCTAGATCATTAGGAGAAAACTTAAAACTGCTGCTCTCTCCTTTATTATTCTCTTGTATTATTACCTAGTGGAAACAAGATACTGCTCTTTAGGGATTGCCCCCCCCCCCCCGCCCTGCCATGTACATCTGCCATTATCATGTAGTCTTCCCCACAAATGACATTCAATCAGAGTGATAGAGTTCTGTTGTGTCTTCTGTGAGCCAGTTGTTAGGGAGCTTGCCATCCAAGTCTCTCTCTCTCCCACACACACACACACACATACACACACACATTGATGGTTTATTATTATTATGGTTAAGTTGAACATACAACATAGGTCTGTCTACTTATTATGAGAATCTCTGGAAATCTGTTTTTCAAAACAGGGAAACCAGATTTTGTTTTGCAGCTTTGATCATTCCTGTTTTGCTTACCCATCTAAGTTGTGGCTTTAGCTGCTTGAATAAGTCATTCTTGTTGGTAAGAAATTAATGGTTTTGTCCCATCCTCTGTTCAGGAGTATAAAGATGACTCTTTATCCCAAGTGGAAGCCACGATCTGTTATCGAACGGAATGTCAAGTTTCCATGGGGCAGGTGACCATAGGGAGTGTGGTGGTGAATCCCATGCATTATTCCTCCCTGTGTTTGTAGGGGCCTAGCTAGTGATGGGGATTGTAACTCTAGTTAAGGGGAAGAAGATAAACCAACAGCTGTCTTTTCAAAGTGTTGATTCTGTAAATGCTTACCGCTTTTTTATGTTTTACTTTCCTAAAGTTGCAAGTCACTTTTCCTAAGTCTGGTTCATCATAGAAAAATTAAACTTTGTTTTGCAAAAATTCATCAAGGTAGAAGGCCCAGTATATCTTTTAGCAGGATAACCCCCAAATGAGATATCAAGACATTTTAGTGATAGAGTTTTAGATTTGCTGAAGCACTCTAAAAATCATCTGGTTCAGTTTGTACAGTACTAAGAGACTCAGGCCCAGTACTGCTGCTGTCTCTTTCCAAATGAATTTTCTTCAGGGCTCTTTTAACTCATTACTCCATTGAATACAGAGGAATCTCATTTACATGCATATTTTTTAAAAATATGACACAGGATAGTGAAGCCAGAGCAAATACTTTATCACTAAGCTATCTTTTCCATTTTAATTTTAATATTTAATTAATTAATTTATTTGTGGAGACATATGCTTGTACTTTGATTTCCTCATGTTACAGGCTTTTGCCTCCCAAATGGTGAGATTACAGGCACTCACTGCCATACCCAGCTCCTTTTGTATTCTTTTAAGACAAGTTCATATTAAGTTGCCCATACTTGCCTTAAACTTGCAGTTCCCCTGCTTTTGCTCCCCCCATCCTGCTTCCCTGTGTCTGACACAGGATCCCACTATGTAGCTCAGATTGGTCTGGAACTTTTTATCCTCTTTCTCTGACTCCCAAGCATTGAGATTGCAGATATGTGTCATCATGCCCACCTGTAGCCTCGCACCGCGCCCCCCCCATGTGTGTGTGTGTGTGTGTGTGTGTGTGTGTGTGTGTCTGTGTGTGTCTGTGTGAGTCTGTTTGTCCTGACAAGGTCTACTATAGCCCAGGCTGGCCTCAAACTCACTGTATGACCAAGGATGACCTTGAATTTCCGATCCTCCTGCCTTCACCTTCCTAGTACTAGGACATACCACTATGCTAGGTTTTATGTAGCCCTGGGAATCAAACCCAGGGCTTCGTGCATGCTAACTAGGTAAGTCCTTTGCCTACTGAGCTACATTCCCATCTATAACTTTTTTTTTTTTTTTTTTTTTTTTTTTGAGACGGGGTTTCTCTATGTAACTGATCTGTAGATCAAGCTGGCCTCAAACTCAGAGATCCTCCTGTTTTTGCCTCCCAAGTACTGGGATCAAAGGTGTGCACCACCACCAAGATTAATTTCTAATGAACATATTATAAATACTTTATAAGCAGCAGAAAGAGTGTGATTTAATAAAGTCTGAGTAAGAAGATAGACATTTTAGAGACCCACAAGACCTACATATTTACCAATAGGGTACATTTTGGTAGAATACTAGATATCTTAGTCACTGTTCTTTTGCTGCAATAATGCTCTGACTGGGGAAACTCTTACAAGAGAAAACATTTAATTGGGGCCTCACAGTTTCAGAGGTTTGGTCCATTGTCATCATGGCAGAGAGCATAGTTTCCAGGATGCCATGTGCACGATTTTTCAAATTCATATACTAGACCTGATTCTCAGAATGGTTTGGATAAGCTGCAAGGATAAGCTAAGGGTGGAGGTACTAGGGAGATTGCTGGGTTAGTAAAGTGTTTGCCTATGGCCCAAATTTCATCCCCCAAACCAACCCCTCCTCCAAACCCCCCCAAAACAGATTTGCAGTGGTGTGCATTTGTAATCCCAGTATTGGGAGGGCAGAGATGAGTGGATCCCTGAGCCTTGCTGGTGAGTCAGGTCAGTCTAATCAGCAAGCTTGAGGCCAGTGGGAGATGCTGTCTCAGAAAACTAGGTGGACAGCTCCTGAAGGGCCATGTTGAAGTTGAACTCCCACCACCACATGCACTCACATGTATACGCACACACTCGAGTGTGCGTGCGCGCATGCACACACACATACGCACACACGCACACATTCATGCACAGTAAGCAGATTCATAACGACTTTGTATACATCTGTACACATCTGTAATCCTAGTATCCAGAACGTGAAAGCAGGAGGATGATGAGTTAAAGGTCCCCTGGGCTATACAGCCATTTCAAGGCCAGTCTCAGGTATGAAGGGAGATCCTTCACCAAATAATAATAATAATAATAATAATAATAATAATAATAATAAATGAATAAACAAAGGCTAAGGCTGTCTGTAGCTCAGCTGATTAATTGCTTGCCTAGCATGGACAAAACCCTCAGTTTGGTCTCCAGTACCGCACAAAACAAGATCCTGTAATCCTAGCACTCAGGAGTCAGAGGCAGGGAGGTTAGAAGTTGGAAAAAGTCCTCAGCAGGTAGTGAGTTGAAGCTTGGCTGTGTTATGTGAGAATTTACGGAGAGGGAGACAGACAATATAAGAATGAGGAAGAGTAAACAAATAAAACATCAAATGCCCCTCCTCCTTCTTTGTATAAAATCTGCATTCCTCCAAATTGCCTTTAAATAAATACCTAGAAGCCCAGACTTTATGACTGTGGTGGTGGTGTGTACCCATAATCCTAGTACTTAGGAGGCAATCGCAAGAAGATCAGGAGTTCAGTGCATATAGAGTTCAAAACCAGCCTGAGCTACATTAGACCCTGTCTCAAAACACCGAAACAATACAAAAACCTAAAACAGCAACAACAACAACAAAAACCAAACAATGAATTTAGACCTTGTGATCTTCTCACTGATCAGACTTAACCAAGCCTAATTCGTTTCTTCCCTCCCTCCCTTCTTTCTTTCCTTTGTGTATTGCTAGCCCAGGCTGGCCAGGAGGTCATTGCCTCAGACTAGCCTCAAACTCAGAAACCTTCCTGACTACTGATGTTATAGAGGTGAGCTACCACAGGGGTACCTCACCAACTCTGGAGCTTGATTTCTGCTTCCCACTGGGTGGCTCCTAAAGGCTTTCTCACCTGGTTCCCAACCTCCAACCAGGGGAAGCGGTGCCATTTACCATTCTATTATGTGTAGTGCTGCCTCCCTCCCACACAAAGCCCTCCAGCTGAGTGTTTGCTTTGTAGGCTGTGGGGGGATTAATAGGTTTATTTTAGAACGTTAACACCAAGGGTGGGATGCACATTGAAGATTATAGTAATAAATGAAGCTTTGGCTTTACTCTCTCTCCCCATCCCCTAGTCCTCAGTATGGGGTAAAGGCACAGCTCCAAGCTGTGCACAGAATGCCACAAATAACCACTCATTAAACTGCGGCAGCCTCGGGGCTGAGAGGAATGGGCAGGGGCTGTTGACTCACTGCATACCACGGGTTGGCCTGGGCAAGGGACTCTGCCCCTGACTCTAGTGGGGGTACTGCTATTCCAGGAAACAGTGGGGTGGCTAAGGGGAGAGATACAAACCAGGGAACTATTCCAGGAAACAGGGTGGGGTGGCTAACAGGAGAGAGAGACAACCAGGGGACTGGGACTGTTAAGGGTAAGAGACATCTGAGATGTCGGGCGTCTGGCCTATATTTTCTGTATTAGGAGAGGAATGTGCTTATAGAGAGACTAGAGTGAAGGTTGCTAGCTCTTTTTCTGTTATTATCTTGAGGGTGACCTTCAGCAAGTCTTTCTGAAGCTGTTGGAGGCCTGCAGCTGGTTACTGCACTGATAGAGTTGAAACAGTTCCAACAGCAGTCCAGGGTGGAACAGGGGCACGGGATCCCGAGGCTTCTGTAAGGGTGACCTTCATTTACCACTGAGGGAGAACACTTCAGCACTCATAGAAACACCCCCGTGGTGGGGTGGGAACAAAGTCTACCACCTGGAAAAATATCCACTAACTCGTGTCCCCTTTGAATTATCCATTAATTTGTGCTCTCCTTTAGTTCCTGAAAATGGAGTTGGTGAAGTCTCCAATTCATGACAGCACAAGACCGAAGGTGGGGCCCTTTTAAAGCTCATAATTTAGAATATTTTGTCTTCAAGCTCATTTTTAGCTTCCTGTGCCCTGGTCTACAGACACAGAACTGTTGGTATCTGGCTGTTCATTGAAGCTACATGATTGAGGGGGTACTGGAGTTTGTGTTTTCATCAGCACAGCATCCAAGTCATGTCAGGGAGGACTCAATTGTCCCAGGTACAATGATCTGATGATTGCTGCTATCAACCGTCTGTGATAGACCAGGAGTGTGAAGAGTATGGAGAAAGCCAAATAGTTTACCCTTCTCAAAACTGGTTTTAACTTGCTGCTTGAAAAGGGGGTGGGGGGTTACACTGTCTCCCACTTCTGGTGATGATGGTTGCTGTGGCAACACCACTAAAAAGGAAATTGACAAAGCAAGAAAAGAAACAAGGGAGAGGGACAGGGTGAGCAGGTCCTGTATGCCACAAAGTTGTGGGGTGCCTCCCCCCAATAGTGGCAGCTGGGAAGGAACAGCTAAGCTGCTACCGTGGGGACCGCCTTGAGGTGCTTTGCCAAGACAATGCTGACTCACACAATTACTTTTGGATTTTGTTTTTTTCTTCTTTCTGTGTTTTCTTTCGTTCCTAATTTTTTTAAGTCAGGATTTCATTATATAGCTCGTGTTGACTTGGAGCACAATCTTCTTGACTCAGCCTCCCCAGTGCTGAGATCACAGGCATGGTGTGCCATCCTTGACACAATTATCTTTGAGTTTGTTTCTGTTTTTGTTTTTTAAATGTTGGGGGGGGTGTCCTGGGAATTGATCTTTCCCCCCCCCCCCTTCTTCTCTTCAAGAAGAATCTTTCTATTATGTAGCGCTTTGGCTGTCCTGGAACTTGCTATATAGACCAGGCTGGCCTTGAACTCACAGAGATATGCCTAACTCTGCCTCCTGGGTGCTGGGATTAAAAGCATGCTCCCTGATACCCAGCGGTAGCAATACTCTTAACCAATGAGCAATCTCTCCAGCCTCCCCCATCCCCTTTAAGGTTATTTTCATGTGTATGTAATGATTTTGTTTACATGTAATGCAAGTGAACTATGAGCTTGCTTGGTGCCTGAGGAGGCCAGAAGAAGGCACTAGATCTCCCAGAACTGGAGTTATAAATGGTTGTGAGCTAGCACGTGAGTTCTGGGAACTGAGCTCGGTCCTCTGTTAGAGCAGCAAGTGTTGCTAACCACTTAGTCATCGCTCTAGCTTTAATAAGAAATTTTGAAAACATTGTTTTAAAACCTATTCTATAGTGAATCATGCCTGCAATCCCAGCACTTTAAAGGTTAAGGAGGATTGCCACGAGTTTGATATAAGCCAGGGCCACACAGTGAATTCTAGGTCAGCTTGAGCTCAGTATAAGACCTCTTTGAGCAACAACAACCCCCAAACCAACCCTCCCCCCAATATTTTTTAATACAAGTTCTTTATCAGACATGTGATTTGTAAATATTTTCTTTCTGCCTGTAGCTTTTCCCTCCTTTCTTTTCTTAGGAAAAATTCAGTTTATAATGTTTTTCTGAGTTTTGCTTTAGGTATATCTAAGAATTTTGTTTTTGTTTTTGTTTGTTTGTTTGTTTTGTTTTGTGTGTGTGTGTGTCCTAAGGTTGCAAAAACTTACCCCTTATGCTTTATTCAAAAAATTTACATTTAATTGTAGCTGTCTTATTGAGGCAGATTTCTTTCTTTCTTTTCGGTTTTCAAGAAAGCCTTTCTCTATAGAACAGTCAGCCCTGGCTGTCCTGGAACTCACTCTATAGACCAGGCTGGCCTCAAACTCAGGGATCCACCTCCTGCTTCCTGAGTGCTGTTATAAAGGACATGGGCCACCACCCTCAGCTTTGAGACAGGATTCCTATATAGTGCTGGTAGGCCTATCGTGCTGTGAGGCCAAGATCTCAAACTTGCATCAGTCTCCCTGCCCCTGCTTCTTGAAAGTTTAGGTTTTGTGTCTATTTGTAGTTAATTTCTGTAAAGTACACAGTATAGTTTGAGATGGGCTTCTTTTGTTTGGTTTTGCAAATGACTGTCCAGTTGTTCCCTTACTGCTTGTTACTGTTTGTTGAAGAGAAGACACCTCCTGGCCTTCCTGCCCCATGTCACATCTTCCATCATGTCACATCTTCCATCATTTTCTCCTGTTTCTTAACATCTCTTCCTCCCTTTCATGGTCCCTTTCTATTTTCATCTTTCTTGTGCGCCCAAGACACCCCCTCTCCCGTCTAGAGTCTGTATATGAGAGAACACCTGCTATTTGTCTTTCTGAGTCTGGTTTATTTCTCTTACCATCATGATTTTCCCTAGCCTTTTAGTATTATTGCTCCTCAGACCTTGGTCCCAGGCCCACCCTGGTTCTTTTCATTCTAATGGTACTCGGAAAAGGAATTCACATCAAGGGGAGGGCCAGGTGGAGAGAGAAAGGGGGTTGTTTATGTTTGAGAGTAAAAGGAACTGATTGTCCTGACTCCTAGAAAACAGAGAGGGGATGAGATGGGGAGCTCAGATAGGACAGGGCCTTATCTGGATGCTGATGAGAGTTCTAGAAAGGTGGAAAGGGGCAAGTATGTGATGTTTTCCTAAACTAGAACTGGAAGAACTAAACAGGGTAGATAGCTTATTGCAAGAAAATACTGGGGAAAGGGAAGATGGTCCTGATCTACATCTTAAAGCCTAAAGGAAAAAGTTTCCTTACCCAGCAGGCCTTTTATATTCACCGCACCTCTCCCCCAAATTGGGAGAGGAGAGTACACAATTTTGAGCTGCAGATCAAACAAAAGAATACTCATAGGGAATTAGCACATACTGCCAAGATGATGGAATGGAACATTGTTGGAATACATCGGGCCCAGAGGAGAGAGTGAAGAAAAGGACTACAAGAAGGTAGGCAAGGAAAGAGACTAGGGCTCTCTAGGGAAAGAAAGAGTTGATGGGCTTCACAGTTGCTAATTAGTGTTTGGTACTGAGACGTGCAAAACAATTAGTCCTGTGTGGGCAATGACATTGAACTGAGCCAAGCTCCAAGCTCACTAGAACTGGAAAATGGTTTTGAATGTTAGCAAGGGAGTCATTTGCTATGGAAACGAGTGGGATGATCTTGCACTTGTAATTCTCAGACTCTGAAGGGCCAGGATCTGGCCCTGAGAGTGAAGACTATGACTAGTCCCCAGGGGTCAGTTTGGTGTGCCAGGAGGCCCACGGAGCAAGCACTGGGAAGCAAGCTGGATGGTCAAATCAACAATCAGAGCAGGAATCTGAGTGAGCAAGCATGGTCTGGGATAAAGTCCTCACAGAGCATGTAAGATTGTACTATAATGGAAAGGCAGGTTCCAGCTCCCCAGGGTTCCCCGTGCAGTACATATGAAGATGATGGTTTGGTTGTAGATTGAAAAGCTAGACTTTGCGATTCAGCTGCTTAAATGTGGGTATAGAATTAAATGATGATTCCTGAGATCTTTCTTCCTACATGGGGATTACCGTGCTGTATGGGATAACTTGTAGTTCACATTAGTGTTCTCCCTGAAGTTCATGTAGGTGAATGTGAGTGCATGTGTGTGCAGACACATGAACACTTTAGTGGCTGAACTAGAGATCATATAACATAGTGTGTTCAAGAGCCTGGGCTCTAGCTGGGCAGCGGTCATGCACACCTTTAATCCCAACACTTGGAGAGGCAGAGGCAGGAGGATCTCTGTGAGTTTGAGACCAGCCTGGTCTACAAAGTGAGTTCCAGGACAGCCAGAGCTGTTACCCAGAGAAACCCTGCCTTGAAAAACAAAAACCAATTAACCAACTAACCAATCAATCAAACAAAAAAAAAAAAAAAAAAAAAACAACCAAACAAATAAAGGAAAAAGAGCCTAGACTCTAAAGTTAGACTGCCTTTCTGGCTTTAAATCCTGACCTTGTGGTTTAACTCTATGATCTTAGGCCAAAAAAA